CACTCCCTTTCAGCCTTTGGCCTGTTAGCCTTTGAAGAGCATCGTGCTTGTGTGGGGGATGATGCAGAGGGTACCCATTCATTTCAGCAGAGCCAATAGCTGTGGATTCAGAGATGTGTTCATTTCCAGAGCAAGGGGCCAGAGGCGTCCAAGCTCCCCATGGTGCTGGCTATCCTAAGGTTAAACGGCAGCTTTCAAACAAGCAGTAGAGCAGTGATAGTGGAGATGAGGATATACACAAGGAGATATATATATGCATATATATATAATTATATATATATATATACACGCACAGTGATAGCGGGGATGAGGATATACACATGGATATATACACACAGTGATAGCGGGGATGAGGATATATACACATAGTGATAGCGGGGATGAGGATATACACACGGATATATACACACAGTGATAGCGGGGTGAGGATATATATACACGGATATATATACACATGGATATATACACACGGATATATACACACAGTGATAGCGGGGATGAAGATATATATACACAGTGATAGCGGGGATGAGGATATACAACCAGATATATACACACAGTGATAGCGGGGAGGAGGATATACAACCGGATATATACACACATGGATATATACACACAGTGATAGCGGGGAGGAGGATATATACACACAGATATATGCACACGAATATATACACACAGTGAGAGCGGGGATGAGGATATAGACACATGGATATATACACAAGTGATAGCGTGGATGAGGATATACACACGGATATATACACATGGATATATATACACATGGATATATACACATGAATATAGACACACAGTGATAGTGGGGATGAGGATATATACACATACACTGGATTGCTGCCAATGCTACTATCCCATGTGTGCTATTCACTGAACCTTGTGGGCGTCACTTGTAAGAATTTCTTCAAATACATTTTCCTTGATGTGAAAATATTCTTAAGTGCATTGAAAACATAAGAATTCAGGAACTAGAGCTGGTTCAGTGGTTATGAATGCTGTCTGGTCTTCCAGACAACCTAGGTTCAGATCTTAGTACCCACATGAAGGTCACAATTGTCTGTAACTCCAGTTCCAGCGGACCTAACATTCTTTTCTGGCATGTGGAACATAGACATATATGCAGACAAAACATCCATAAACATAAAAGTAAATATTTTGAAGTATTAATCCTCAGGAGGTTGAAGAAGTAAGGTTGTGAGTTCAAGACCAGCCTGAGCTACATAAAGAGGTCATATCTCACAAAAAAAAAAGCAGTATCAATTCACTGGTTCTTGTTTGTTCTTTCTTTATTTCTTTATTTTTTGTTTGCGTGTGTGTGTGTGCATGTGTGTGTGTGAGAGAGAGAGAGAGAGAGAGAGAGAGAGAGAGAGAGAATAGGACCATGAACACCACAGCACACATGTGGAGGTCAAAGGAGAACTTGGGATGTCAGTTCTTCCCTTCCACCATGTGGTTCTGAGGGATCAAACTCAGGTCACCAAGCTTGGTGGCAAACTTGAGCCTTCTTGTTGACCCTCATCTTGCATTTGTATGGGTTGTAGTGGTCACCTCCAGGGTCCCTCATACAAAGATCATCACAGACCTGACTATCTGAGCCCCTCTTCTGTACTCCACTATAAGTGGTCTCGTTCTACTCCTGTGACTGAAGACAATCTCATTCAGAGAGGTGGATATTAAACCCTTGCCCAGGGTGAACTATGCCGGAGTAATAGCTGCATGTGTACACTGGATATAAGGCTCCCAGAATCTTTCTGGATGATCAGTGGATGAGATAACGCTGGACTGGGAAAGAGGAGAACTCGGGGAAGCATGCAGTCTCCTCAATATGGGCAGACCTTGACCAACCCACTCAAGACCCAAACGGAACAAAAGGCCTAAGTGCTTCCTCATGAGAAGCTGATGAGGAGCACACGGGGACCCTTCCTAGCCAGCAGCACAAAGGCCTTTATTAAAGAGGCTTCCAGCAGCGCTGCTCCTCCTCTCCACCTTCCACCGTGGGAGGACACAGCATGCCCTCTGAAGGGATTGTGGAGACACAGTCTTCACTAGATAATTTAACCTAAATCTGACACCTCAATCTTGGTCCCCAGCCTCTACTCAGAAAGGGGCAGGGGCATTTTTTTTAAAAGTATCCAGCCTTGAGTATCTTGTGATAGCAAAAAATGGACTAAGCCACTAAGTGAAAAAAGACTTCACCAGCTTGACTTCCTGACCCAGAACACTGGCTCTCCTTCCTTCCTCTCCAGCCCGCAGAGGGAACCCTGTGCCATTGATTCTACTGTATCTCCAGCTTGCCAAGTGCTGGCCCTGGTATCTCTCAGCCTCCATCATTGCAGAAGCCCATTCCTTGCAACACACACACACACATACACACACACACATACATACATACATACATACACACACACAAATACACATACATGCACACACACATACACATACACAAACATACACACACATACACACATACTCATACATACATACATACATACATACATACATAAACACATACATACACACACACACACATACATACACACACAAGCATACACATACACTGTTGGTTCTTATTTCCATTCCTATGTGAAACCCTGCCTACACCTAGATATAACTACAGAACCAATTGCTTTCTCACTTGAGAGAGCAATAAGCACACGAAATTTGAAATAAAAAACAGGACAGGGCTGGAGAAATGGTTCAGCGCTGAAGAGCACACACTGCTCTTGCAGAAGAACTGAGTTTGGTTCCCAGCACCCATGTGAGGCAGCTCATAACTGTAACTTCAGGAGATCCAAAGCCTCTGGCCTCCACAGGTAACATCATTCATGTGCACACACCTACAAACATTATATAAATAAAAATAAGACAAATCCTTTTTAAAAAGCATTTCTACTAAGACACAAACAAAAGAAATACTTTAGTTTAGTACAAGACCCATTTGGAAAGACATAAAACTCTGATGAAAAGAATCAAAGAAAAATAAAGCATAGAAGGATGGTCCACGTCTGTGGGTAGGAGGACTCACTACTGCCCACTTAGCAAGGATTCCCAACTACAACTCCAGGTTTCAACAGAATTTGGCCAAAGTCCCTCAAGACATTTTGTGGATAATAACAAACTGATTCTAGGGTTTACATATATAGACAAAGCAAACAAACACCCTAGTTAACCGGGAAAATCAACGGTGTTAAATAACCAAGGCTGGGAACAGAAACTGCTGATGCTAAGACACACTGTACTCCCAGAGTAATCACAACCATGTGGAACTGGCCAAAGAGCAAACTGGTTAATGGAACAGACGTGAGTGCAGAAATGGACCTCATAAATCCTGTCAGCTGGTATCTGACAAAGAAGCAAGGGTAACATAATAAAGAAAAGAGTCTATCCAACCAGTAGTACTGAGAAAGCTAGATGCTGCACAAAAACCATCCCCACCATTGTTACCATTACTACCATCATAATCATCACCACAACCATCACCATCATTAACATCACCATCACCACCATCACCAACCATCACCACCACCATCATAATCACCATCATCAAAACCATCACCACCACCATCACTACCACCATCATTACCATCATCACCATCATCACAACCATCACCACCACCATCATTACCATCATCACAACCATCACCACCACCATCATTACCATCACCACCACCATCACTACCACCATCATTACCATCATCACCATCATCACAACCATCACCACAACCATCATTACCATCATCACCATCATCACAACCATCACCATCGTTAACAACACCATTATCATCACCAACCATCATAACCACCATCATAATCACTATCATCACAACCATCACCACCACCATCATCACCATCATCACAACCATCAATATCATCATACTGCTATCATCATAATCACCATCACCACCATCACCATTGTTAACATCACAGTCACCACCACCATGATCATACCACCACCATCATCACAACCATCACCAGCACCATGATCATTACCACCACCATCACCGTCACTACCACCATTGTCATTGCTACCACTACCGTCACCATCAAAATATTCATCAGTATCACTTAAATAAAAGCCTTTATCAATTTACAGAATTTAACTCAAAATGGAGCACATACCTAAATGTAAAATGTGAAATTATAGAGAAAAACATTTAAAAAAAAAAAAAAAGCTAGATAGCCCTGCCCAGCGTTGTAATCACACCTGTAAGTCCAGCACTCGGGAGGCTAAGGCAGAGAATTGCACGACGGAAGCCAGCGGGGACCATGTGTCTTATGAAGAAAGAGAGGAAAGAGATAGGGAAGAGATGAGGAAAGAAGTGAGTTCTTAGTCCTGAGAAGACGCGGATTTGATGGCCATGCTCGGGACTCAGTGATCAGCCCAGACTGGGATTGAGTCAGAGACACCCTGGAAACGGCAGCGCCGTGAAGACACGAAAAGATACGCAGGTGCTGGTGTGGGGGGAGGGGAGTGGCCGGGTGGGCCGTAGACACCTCTAGAGGGGTGACATTGTCCTGTGGACGTGCTGTGTTTGTTCTCATTTGTCACACCCTTCACGTGAGCTTCAGACTGCAGCAGTGACAGGTCAGCGAGTACTCACTGGCCATGACACCAACTTGATGAGGTGTGCTCTCTCCATGGGGAGCTGCGTCTGTGGAGATGGCAGGCATCTTCCCTCCAGTCTGCTATGAACCTGAAAGTTCTCTGGGAAGTAAGATCCATTTAGAAAGAAAATGAATGAGAAAAGCATCAGATCCCAGATCTCTTTCCTCGAGCCTACAGTGTCCTTCCTTCATGACGTGAGATGCTCCCTTCCCTGCCTTCAGTGACTCTTGGGACAGGTGACAAATGGTAACGGCTCACACAGTGGCACCACCAGCTGGGCCAGGCTTCTCCCTTCTTTTGCAGGATATTTGATACAATATTCTATTCTATTTTTTCACAAGGAAAAGAGGCAGCTGGATGCAGAGCAGGTTAGGAGACTTACAGATGAGGTCTGTTTCTACTGCTGCTTGCTGTGTGACCTTAGGCTGGCCACTTGCCCTCTCTGATGCTGACAGGGCCCTTCCTCCCCCACTCGGTCTGCAGTTGAAGCCCTTCTCGAGCTGTGATTCTCAGCTCTGATTTGCATCATTATTAAATGGTAGCGGCCAGGTCTGCTCATCGCTGCTGCTGCACGACAGAGAGAATCAATTTGCTCGCTGGGGAAATGAAGACATTATTATCTTTCCAAGATGTCCAGAAATAGGGATGCTACTGAGCAAGCAGGCCTGTCTGCCTGGCTCCGTGACAACGGAGCCAGGGATCTGGAGGCTCCTAGGTGGAGGGTCCGCTTGGCCTTGCCTCCTGCAGGGACCACAGATGTGTCCCCCCCCTCCAGCGAACCTTTACTTGTGTAGCCTTAAAACTAAACTTGAGGGGCTAGAGAAATTGCTCAGGGCTTAGAGCACTTGTCGTTTACCGAGGATAAGGACTTGGTTTCAGCATCCACATGATGGTTCACAACCAGGGAACCTGGTGACCTCTCCCTACCTCCACAGGCACCAGGCACACAAGTGGCGCACACTCAGGCAAAACACAAATACACACAAAACAAGTCTAAAAATACATAAAACAAAATAGCCACTCGGGAATTTGTAAAGAGAAGAGGGCACAGATCTGGGCTAAAAGCCTTCCAAAGGGGCAGAAACGGTAGGGCTGTTGTGAGTTACAGGTACGCACAGGAACAGCCTAAGCTGGAAAGTTCTGGAAGGTAATGATGAGTGAGAAGCAGACCTGGGTCCTGAGACTCTGTCCCCAGGCACAGAGCCAGGAGGACACTAAAGGAGAGACGTGTCTGGAGGATGCTTCCTGAGTCAGGCTGTGTGGGGCTGGCAGCAAGACGATGACATCACCTTTGGGAACACTGGCGCTCCATCATCCTCACTGCCCTAAGGGCACAGCTGCCCCTGAGCATCTTCCCAGGCTCGGGGATGGGCTGAGACCATCACCTGGGCTGGAGTTCTCCCGCAAGCCCTGTGCCATCATGCCTAGGGATGGACCACTGGAAAAGGTGGTGTCCCCAGCCACAGCGAATCCTGATTGTAGCCTGAAACTGTGCAGTGGGGAAGCGGGAACCCCATCAGGATGTGGGACTCACTGTACCTCAATAACACACCCAACACCAAGGACATAAGTTTTCTCTAGAGTCAGGCTGACTCTGAGGCTGAGGAGCGGACTGACCCAGGCTGAGTCTGCCCAGAGGAGGAGTACAGGAAGTCATCGCAGAGGGAGCTGAGGCCCCTCAACCAGCAGATGAGCAGGACCAGGGCTGGTATGTGAAGAACAATAGCTACAGTTGTTCTCTGCAACCCCAGAAAGCAGATTCAAGCCAGGTAGAAGCATACAGGTTCCTGCTCAGCCCAAGGAGATTCTCTGATCCATTAGAGCCACTCCCTGCAGCAGCACGAATCCCTGAGGGTGAATAAGAACCCCAGGGACAGATCCAATCAGTTGAGTCACCATTAAGCTACTCCAACTCTTTGCAAGGCTGACCCATTGGGCCCTTTTCCAATCCTTTGTATGAGAGGAAATGGAGTTTTGATCCCCCTTTTAGAGCCAGGGAAAGAGCTCAGAGAAGTTTAGTGACTTGGCCAAGGTCACACAGGAAGGTAGAGCTGTCACAACACTAGGTCTAACTCCCTATAGGAGCAGAGAGGAAGTTGATCAAGGCCACCTGTCACCTCTGAGGTCTTACAGAGTGTGTGGGACTCTTGGTCTATCTGCCCTGCAGTCTCTCAGCTCCATCACAGCCCCCACCCACGACTTCTCCATCTTGTCAGCAGCCTCTCAGATGCCCCATCTCACCTGCTTGGAAAGCCCAGGCATGCTCAACCTTGGATGAACTCTGGAGTCTTTTGGGGTACAGCAATGAGCCTCAGAATCACACACAGAGCTAGTCACCAAAACAAAGAGGAACTGGTGTAGGGACAGATAGATGGCCAGCGGAATGGAGTTCAAAGCCAAGAAATGAACCCACACCTAAAGGACTGACATAAAAGTAAACTTCCATGTCTATGATTGGCTCATTCTCAGCAGAGTAAGAGACAAACGGGGTGGGGAAGGACAGCGCTTGACGGAGCTGCGACAGCTCCATCCTCTACCTCACAACACAGAAAAGTCAGGACTCCCAAAGCAGCCAATGTTCTAAAAATAACGCTAGAAGTGCAAACTCCTGGAAGAAACCAGAGGTGGCTCTTCAAGACCTTGTATTTGGTAATGGATTCTTGGACAGGACATCAAAGAAGGCACGGACAACATCAGCCAAACAAAACAGAGCTCTGAGATTCCTCTGCTGGGGCAGAGGGGTCTCCATCACCCGCTCCCCTCCTGCCATCATCTGCTTCTTGTGGGCAGACTCTGCAGACTTCATAGAGGGCTGGCTGGCAAGATAGAAACCTCTCTCTCTCTCTCTCTCTCTCTCTCTCTCTCTCTCTCTCTCTCTCTTCCTCTCTCTCCCTCTTTCTCTCCTTCTCTCCCCCTCTCTCCTCTCTCTGTCCCTCCATCTGTCCCTCCCTTCCTTCCTCTCTCCCTCCTCTCCCTTCCTTCCTCTCTCTCCCTCCCCCTCTCTCCATCTCTCTCCCACTCTCTTTCTTCCTCCCCCCCCCCATGTACAAGGTCTTATTGTGTAGTCAAGCCTGACCCCTCTTGATCTTCTTGCCTCCCTCTCTCTGAGTGCTGGGACGACAGGTGATTGACTGGGAGCTTCTTTTGTCCTGCCCCGTGCACAGTATGCAAAGCTGGGTAGAGAATTAGTGAAGAGTGTCGCCATGCATGCAAGATGTGCCCTTTGGGTGTTCAACAAACAGTTTCAGGAGCAGGAGACCTGTGCTGAGTTCTCCCCTAACCTCGTGGTAGACATGGGCCCTGGAGCAGGTCACTAACTTCTTGGACACCCAAATGGCTCCACCCATAGGAAGCCTAGGAAGCTGACTTTTGGATATAGGGGCAACCTGCTGAAGGGTGATTGGGCGTGATAGCTCCCAGCTTGGAGTAGAAGCTGGGAAAAGCAGCTCACACTCCTGATGGCTTAAAGCCCCAGTACAACAGAGCTGAGTGCTCGCTGACACAAGCCAGACCCCTTTCCCAGCCATTTTTAGAGCAGGCACAGGAAAAGGTACGTGTCTCCTGGGTAACATCACTGTTCGTTGATAAACATCCACTCCTATGTCCGGAAGCCTGGGTATTTTTAGGAAGGCCCGCTGAGAGGCCACAGGACCCCCAGGAGTGCTGCCATTGTGAACACAGCAGGTAATTCCCAGTGTTCATCACCCTCCCTCACCACACCTGATAATAGTGCTGAGGACGCAGGGCGAATGAGAGGGCAGAATGAGATAGCCTGGGGAGTTCGTGTGACCTGGCCCAAAGAGGTACACTGTTCTCCTTTCTCAGAGAGGAGACATCATTCGCTCTGTAGGTATAAGTAGGCCTCAGCACGAGGTAGCACCCTGTAGCTTCTGGCCTCCACCTGTTGCTCTGAGGCCATTTTATGTTGTTTCCTGAGACTAGCATTTGTCTGTGTCAGGCTTCCTGAATCCCTCCTGAGGGTGACCCAGTAACAACTCCTGCTACTTGCTGTGTTTGAAGAGACTGCAGGTGGGAAGCCTTCTCTGAGGGGAGGTCCTGGGAGGCAATCTCTCTCCCATAGCTGAGGCCTCTGATAAAGGAAACTGGGCAGCTCCAGGCTCTGTATATATCTGTGGGGATCCAGGCTGAGGCTACTGTTGGAATCTGATGAGCTGGAGAACTGAAGGTGTCAAAAAGGCCACTGTCCACAAGAACCTCATCCAATCCCAGCTTTTGCTAGGCACCCAGCCTTAGATGGAAACCAAAATCACCCCATGCAGCCAGCTGCATAGCGCAAAAACGGCTGAGGAATTGTAGCAGTGATGAGAAAGGAGGTTGAGTGTTGGCCAGCCATGGATAGCAGGGCCACAGAGAGCGGGGCCATGGAGAGCGGGGCCACGGAGAGCGGGGCCACGGAGAGCGGGGCCATGGAGAGCGGGGCCACGGAGAGCGGGGCCAGGGACAGCAGGGCCACAGACATCGGGGCCATGGACATCAGGGCCACGGTCAGCCGCAGCTAGATAGGACATACCATCAGCCTACTGTACAGCAAGTCTGCCTGCCTTTCCTTTCCTCTGCTGACAGCAACCTCAGACATGGGGACAACAAGAGAGGGCTCATACGAGAAACTGTGTGGGATACCTCTAGAATCTTCCTCATTTCATCTCTCCTCAGGATAATGCAAGGAGATGTTATTCTAATAGTTTTAAGGACAGAAAAATCAAGATCCTCAGGTATTTTACAAAAAGTTCAGTATAAAAACATAGAACCCCCCAGGACAAAAGAACAAACCACTTTCATGCTGCTACGTAAAGGACCCAGATCCGTGATGCCATTCAGTCAGGGACTCAAACCCTGCCTCTCACTCAGTGCTACGTGACCTTGAGAAAGCCTCATGGCTTCTCTGACACCAAGTTTTCTCTTCTCTTTTAAAATGGAGGTAGAAATAGTGCCAAGATTGTACCCCAAAGTTCACTGGTGGTTGCTGCTGGCCAGGAGACAGTAGGCCTGAATGCCTCATTCAGGAAGCTTCCATGAAGCCACTCAGCATTTCTGAGGTCTTGGAATCCCAGAGGCAGAACTCTGTCTTGTTATCATGGACAAGGGGACAGATACCTGTCCTATGATGCAAAATGTCACCCTCAGGGTGGTGAGAGCTCTAGAGAGCTCGAGACTGGGTGGATGCTAAGGGTGACCAGAAAGGGCTCATGGGAACTGCGTTCTCCTTAGAGAGCTACTTCCCACTTCCTGGATGGATCTCTTGCTGCTTCCGCCATTTCTGAATTAACATAAGGGACTGGAGATCTTGCCCTGCACCCCTAGGACTCAGCCCAAAGGCTCCCCCAGAAAGGTGGTCTTGGAGAGCAGGAAACAGATGAGAACTTTGCTGCCACTATGTCGTGAAATCCTACCTCTTCCAGCTGTCCTCTTCCTCTCTGAGGAGAAACGGAGATCCCCTTGGAGTCTCCTGATGCTGGCTAGAGGAAGAAGAGGGAAAGAAAGGGTTAACGGGGCATGTGCATGTGACTTCTGGGGTCACTTCTGTTCCCCAGGATTCCCTTCCCCTCATGTCTGTACCAACAGAGACTGCCAGAGCTGGGCACGGAGCCCAAGTTTCCCAGGATGGCATCCTCCATCATTCTAGCTTTCATCCCCATCTTCCATCCTACATGCCAGCCCCAGACAACATGGATTCATGCACCCCTGGCCCTGAACGGAGCAGAAACCCAGCCTCTGTGTGTTTGCTCTGAGCTGGAAAGGGGCTTTCTGAGTCACTGTGAGCAGAGGAACGTTCATCACCACCTGAGGAATGCAGGCTCTTTGGGAAGACCTCGAATTTCAGGTACTGTACAACCAGAGGAGACAGCGTGGAGCGTGGAGGGGATAGCGCAGTTCCACAGTGTGACCCAGAAGCCCAGCCGCTCCCTCTCTGGCTTTTCTGTCACTTTACAGGATGGGGGTAAAATTCACCACATCCTAGTGACATCCTGGCTAGCCAAGACTTAGGCTAGTATCAGGAACTGGCTTGTCACAATAGAGCTGAATAAAATAAGGCTTACAGTCACCGTAGCAGAGAGGTGGTGGCAGCAAGGTCACAGCTCTGACCCTCTGGCCACAGAACTGAGCCAAACTGAGCAGTGGAGGAGGCCCTGTCACTGCACAGCACCTAAGACAGGGACCAGGACACCACCATAGAAAGCCTGCCCACTCCAGGTTGAAGACCCTGAACATGGAAGTTCTCGAAATCTAAACAGAAAGTTTTGGCAAGGCGGGAACTAGATCCCAGATCTGGGAAGCCCAAACTGACAGAAGTACTGGTTCCCTGTGGGAGAGGCCCCAGTAGATCAGGGAAGAGTTTAAGGTCCTCCTACATGAGAGAAACTCTCAGCATGTTAACTGGTATAGAGTGGTATGGCTAGAGACTTGGTTTTAGTTGGCTATCTGTGCAGTACCCTCAGGCAGTGTGAGCCCTGGGAACCTCATGGAGCCAGAAGAGGGTCACAGACGAAGGAATCTAAGGATCACACATGTTCTCATGTGTCAATATATGCACACCATATGTGCATATGTGCACCCTTGGACATATGCACAAACACATGCATGCACACGAAAGTGTGCTATCTCTCACATACAGACACATGTGCATACACATGAACATACAGAATGTTCATTTTGGAGGGATTTTTGTTTGTTTTTGTTTGCATTTTTGAGGCAGAATCTCACCCAGCCCAGGCAGATCTTCAGCTCACTAGGTAACTAAGGCTTGACCCTGAACTCCTGATCCTCCTGCCTCCACCTCCCCAGTGCTGAAATTACCATATCTGCCTAGAGCGTTCATTTTTAGACACAGAAGTGACCATTCCTTACTTATTCATTGAAAATACTCAGAACATTGTCACAGCCTGAGGACTGTGACCCACACCTGCTGCTGTGTGACCGCGCCACACACAGCTCTGTGACACACAGAAACAAATGGAGTCTTGACACTTCAGTTGTCTGTGGTACTGCAGCCCTTTGAGTGGAAGGATGCACACACTCTTGGCTCAACGTATCCCATGGTACTTGTGGACCAAACTTCTTTATCATCTGCTTATCAGATACCACAGCCATGTCCACCCCAGGCCACGAGAACCTTGCTACCACCATGTCCTGGTGTGCTCATCAGCACGTCTATATCAGATAGACTCGCAGTGAAGTACAATCAGAAGGGGCCTCTTGTCTTGCCTGTAGACTTGAAGCAAAGGTTCTGCTTCGGGGATGTCTGTTTCGGTCCTCTCCCAGGGGATGAGACACAGTGTCTCAGGACAAAGGGAGGAGTCTGACGGCTGGTGAAGACAGATGTCCAGGGTTCCACTGCCCGGGGCACCTCTGAGGAGCAGGAACTGCATTTACTGGCTCAGAACTGATAATGAGTTTTTATGAGCTCAGGGGAACACTCAGAACACGTATTAATGTCAAGCATGCCCGTCAGCCATGCAGCTTGAGCGAATGTCACACATTAACGAAATTAAAGGCTCCAGCCAGAAGCAGCTGCAGGCTTCATGTCAGGAGGTTGAACAAGGCCCGACTCTGACAAAATCACTTTCCACATCAGCTGCTCCCACTGGAGCGTCTCTAGGGCAGATGGATCCCACCTCCCTGCACCTTAAAGGAGATGAACTGTTGCCACACAGCCAGGAAAGACAACCACCTGCCCAGCTCTATCCCACGGAGGCCACTCTGTTGGGGGCCCATTCCCACCCTTTCTGCCCCCGGGGAGAGTGGCTGTCACCCATGTTCCATTTAGAGAACCCTTGGGAGACAAGAAAAAGGATTCCAGGAAACAAGTGTGGAAAGATGGTAGCCAGACGATGTGGGCAGTGACCCCTGACCCGATGAAAGGAAAGGCCTGGAGTCGGGCGGGAGGGGCTCACTCCCACTCAGCTTCCACACTTGTAGGTAAGATTTATCTCCCCTGAGGTCTGAGGCTTCCCTGGCTGAAACCAAAAACCAGCTCAGCAAGGGGCTTGAGCACAAGAGATCTACATACACAGAGTCTCAAAGCCTCACCTGGGAGCAAGAGCCAGGTTTGGTGACGTGGAAGCTGATGGGGGACTCCCTGAGAAAGGCAAAGATGGAGGCAGGAAAGAGCCTGACGCCAGGCTCCAAGATCATATCATAATCACCGTAATCTTAAGTCCATCTAATAGTGCGAGTTAATTAAATTAATTATGACCTCACTTTTTATATGATACAGTCTGGTTTCTGAGATGCTAAAGAGTAATTTTGAAAAAAGTGGTACTTTAAAATCTTCCACAGTGAGAGTTTGGGTTGGAGGAACTTGTGGCGGTCTCTCCCCCCCCCCATACCTTTTGATTTAAATACAGGAGGTTGGGGATGGAGAGATGGCTCAGCAATTAAAAGCATTGGCTGCCCTTGCAGAGGACCTAAGTTTGATCCCCAGCACCTACCTGGCATCTCATAACTATAACATTGGCTCGAGAGGATCTTATGACCTCTTTTGGGCTCCCTGGGGACCAGAACACATTTGAAGCATACACAAACATGCAAACAAAACATCTCACCACACACATATTAGACAAATAAGTAAATACATCAAGCTGGCATAACAAGCTGTACTCCTTTGATAATGACCCCTGCCTTTGGAATGTTGCCTCCTGCGTCCTCACAACACAGAACCATTATGAAACCAACATGACGTCCACTGCTCTGTGATTTCCCAGGAAGCCTTCCTCCTCTAGCTCCTTCTTCAAAATCCTCCATCCCCATATGGCTTCTACCCATGTCCACCCAGGCTCAAGTTCATGATTGCCTGTCCACCGGCTGCGGAGGGCATCAAGGCTTTGCTGCTGGTGTCCAGCGTCCGTTCCCTCCAGCCTGCTGTCTCAGCTGTCACAGCGAGCATGGTATCTGTCTGCAGTGGTCTCCTTCTGTCAGTATACAGATCTTTATCATCCGGTCCCCCACTGACCCCCAGGCCCGTCTTCAGGTCCTCACAGTAGGAACACACGCTTGTCAAACTGAACTCACCCAAACCCTGCTAGCATGCTGGGTTCTGCCTTACTTATGTTCTCTCTTCCAGCAATTCTTTGTCCTTTTCCAACTCCAAGCTTTACCTCCCCCAATGCTTGCCAAACTCCCAAACCCCTCCAAAACCTTCCTTCAACTATCTTTTCTGGTGAATCTTCCCAGTATCACCACAGATATAATAAAACATGGTTCTATTATGTTCTCCTAGCAATTTGAGTCTGGGTATAGGAGCAATGTAATATATATTTTCTGTTTTTGTGATTTTCCCCACCTACTACACTATAGTCTCTGCCATACTAGGAATAGTATCTTTCCCCATTTATTGCCCTTCTCCTTGTGAGCCTCAGGCCCAGGCTCAGTAAGTAACAGTTGATAGATGGATGGAGAGCTGCTAGGAGAGATGGATGGAAGGCAGGAAGAGAATGAACCATGGCTGCAAAGAGTTAAGTTGGAGTTGGTGGCAGGAATGGAGAGATATAAAGCTGGTGGATGTGGGTGGGTGGGTAGGTAGACGGTTGAGGGGTAAATGAATGAAAGAGGGGCCGATGCATGGGTGGGCGAATACAGTGGGCATAGGTCGGAGATACGGGTAAATGGGTGGGCACAGAGATGCCTGGGTGGACGTGTGGGTGGGTGGGTGGGTAGGTAAACGCTGGATGATACAAGGACAGATGGAGGACAGATAGGATCGTCAGTTAAGGGGTCAAGAACAAGGACCTGAGACCCCCAGCACCCATCAGCACTGTGGAGGCTAAGGAAGAAGGATCCCTGGGCTAGCTGTCCGGATAGTCTAGACAAATCAGGAAGCAGTGAGAGACCCTGTCTCAAAAATAAGGTGTTGGGTGGTTGAGGACGACACCCAGTGATGACCTCTGGCCTTCACATCACACACACACATGTAAACACACACACACACACACACATACTTTCTCTCTCTCACCTCCCCCCACACAATGGTGAATATGCTATGTGTATTTATTTACCTCAATAAAAAAAAATTAGGAGGGAAGGGAAGTGGCCAAAATGAGCAGTCCCTAGCCACGACTCTCGGAGTCCACCCCCTCTTACTCTGAGACTTCTGCCTAGAGAGCAGATGTGTCTCCTCCTCATTCGCAAGCCAACATTTAATCAGCAACAGCTGGACTCTGGAATATTCCATACATTGTTCCATGATAGTGTTGAAGAACATGGGTTTAGTCTCCCTGTGTGGCAGGACTCAGTTTGGCAGGCTGTTCCAAGAGGAAAACAGCCAACCTTTGCCAGGGCAGTTCCTGCCTGAAGCCTTTCCACTCCATCTCTTTCTTTCCCTGGCTGCGCCTCCCTGCTCCACCCTGGCTTCCCAAATCACCTCCTAGCTCCTGGTGAGTCCTGAGACCAGGACTTTGGGTCTTGGGTCCCTGGAAGAGGCTGTGGTGTCCAGGTGTAGCTCTCCCTGAACACCTCACGG